ATCATTCGAACCTCGAACTGGGGATGTCCGGTTAATTAGAAGTCCCACGGAATCCACTAACATGGCAAATGTCAAAGAGCTCGGCGTTCTCCATTGCAACAATCGCCAAAAACCAACAAAGTACAATCTGACATCACTAACTATCCCTGGAGACATGAGCACTGCATACAGGCCAGCACTAAGGGTGCTAGCCTCCTCGCCTAGCCTACTCTACACACGCAATAGTAATAAATTCTAATAATTACACTAACCGATATGGCGCTGGTCATAGGGATCTGGCTGCCTCTTCTCATATTCCACTGAGTACTTTAGTACAATCTCACTCAGCCTGCATCACATTCATCAATGTCACAAGAGCAAGACCAGAACAACAACAAAACATGAATGAATCATTTGAATGGCCACTTATCATTACTTATAACTCTCTCTCGCTCTCTCCCCCCTCCCCCTCCCCCTCCCCCTAAAGCCTCCAGCCACAGCCCTTGCCCGCAGATGCACGCCTATGCCGTAAATAGCAGTGCTTCACGGATACTACGATTGCCAGGGGATGACTGGGTGGCGAGAAAGAAAAGAAAAAAACTGACGACAGGTAGTACCAAGAGTACATGTAGAGTGCTGTGGTGTTGTCGGGTCCTGTGGGTGGGTACTGGGTACCGTGGTGCTGTGGTGTTGTCGGGTCCTGTGGGTGGGTACTGGGTACCGTGGTGCTGTGGTGTTGTCGGGTCCTGTGGGTGGGTACTGGGTACCGTGGTGCTGTGGTGTTGTCGGGTCCTGTGGGTGGGTACTGGGTACCGTGGTGCTGTGGTGTTGTCGGGTCCTGTGGGTGGGTACTGGGTACCGTGGTCCTGTGGTGTTGTCGGGTCCTGTGGGTGGGTACTGGGTACTGTCAAGAATCCATAACCCCCCAGAGTGTGCAACTCCAGGTTGGGGTCTGGCGCAACGAAATCCAAACATTGCGTCATCCGGTCCCCGGGCAAGCATGGGCGGATGGGGCCATGTGCATATCTGGTACATCCGGCGGGGGTTCCAAGTTGAAGATTGCTTTGAAGCAAGCCACGGAAGGGTCACGTAAAACGTTTGCTCCACGGGCTATGCAGTGTCAGCAGAACGGCTTTGATTTCACAGTCACAGAATTTTTTTTATTTGAAGAGAGTTTCTCTGCTCGTTGTCTGAAAAGCTTGTATTGGGAGAGTTCGTGACTCTGGGATAGCAAGAATAGGCATGGATATAGATTTACAAGATTTGATGGAAATAGCTCTTGGCACACGGCATGAAGACCCGATCGATTTCGAAGTAGATGTGCTTCAACCTGCTCCTCAGTCCCATTTTGGTACAAGTAGTTCAACTGGGATGGTGTCCTCCACCATGTGTAACCCTCCTGATCCTACTCTTACTCCTGCCCCTCTTCCTGCCCCTGGTCTTGCTCCTGGTCTTGCTCCTGCTCGTCGCAAGAGGAGAAAGGCAAAAGTGAAAGCTTTGACTGCATCGCAGAAGAAATCGATCATTCATGCCCTGGAGAAGATTGATTTGGAGCAGTTATCCAGCGATGTTTCCAGCATTGTCTCTGCTGAGCGCCATATGGTGCTGTTTCCAGCACGTCTCCAGAGTTTCACGGCGAACGGATGCTGGAAGTCCCTTTGTAGTTTGCTTGTGAAGAATTACGTGGACCTATATGGCCAGTGCTCTGCTAGAGCTGACAAGTACTCCACTTTCCAGGTGAAATGGTCACACTTAGTCAAGTCAAATGTGGATAGCCCTGATGTGACATCATGTGGACTCGGCGAGAATGATCGTACCTCTATTGTAATGGCTGTGGGTGCCGCAGTTTGGCTGGAGTGCTGCCGTGTGATAAAACATGTGCTGAAGCCTGTGGACAACTTGGCCCAGTTGGACCCTGCCCCCCTAACAGATACACACTACCATCGCTTTTTTGGCTGGGCACTGTCCTCCTGCATTGGTGGTTTGAAGAGAAAAGCCTCTGCACAGACATCCGGATCACTGAGTGGAAATGAAGAGAATGAGCTGGTGTTGCTTCGTTCTCTTTGCGTCAGCAATTCAGAGAAAGATGAAGCCAGCATTCCGGAGTCGCTTTCCATTCGTGACAAGGGACATATGAGGTTCCTGAAGGAGGAGCATATGGAGTTTGCTCGTCTGGCCCTGCAGAAGATTTATTCTGTTGTTAACTACGATGCCTACTCAACGTATGGCAATGATTTAGTCAGGGTTGCTTCTGCGTGTATTGAGCATGACAAGACACTACCCAAGAGTCTTATCTCCTCAGTCCAGACTACACTTGGCATAGACAAGTATGAGGATTAAGTGATCATTGCCGTGGCCTACAAGCTCGTCATGAAGGTCACGAACGCAGTGTGCGGAGAAGTCATTGATGCGGCTGAGCAAAACCAGATTCTGGAAGATGGGAAATCTTCCACCAGTGGTCTCAATCTACGAGACCGGCTCCATGTTGGTAATGCTTGAAGGACGTCACTATCCTTGCGTTGTCAGGACTTTCCACACAATCAATGAATGCATGTAAGAGGGCAGTATCTGCCTGACAGGTTCGTCCCTTTGAATAGCCTCATTGTTTCTATTATTTGAGGTGGGTTCATCCCCTTGCATAGCCTCATTTCTTCTTATTATTTGAGGTGGGTTTATACCCTTGAATAGCCTCATTTTTCCTATTGTTTGAGGTAGGTTCGTCCCCTTGCATAGCCTCTTATTTTCTTATCATTTGAGGTGGGTCCATCCCAAGTGACTGAAGCCATTGATGCATCTATAGAGCGTGTGCACCATTGTATATATTCCTTTGCTTTTTTGCATGCGTCCCTCCTGGAGAGTTGGGCGTGGTTGTGCGCATCACTTGCTGTCCTTTGCATGCTTGTCCGGTGGTTACCGCGATGGGCCTATGCCACATGTGCACTGCTGTATATATTCCGTTGCTCTTTTACATGCATCCCTCCTAGAGCTGTATATATTCTGTTGCTCTTTTGCATGCATCCCTCCTAGAGCTGTATATATTCTGTTGCCTTTTTGCATGCATCCCTCCTGGAGCTGTATATATTCTGTTGCCTTTTTGCATGCATCCCTCCTGGAGCTGTATATATTCTGTTGCCTTTTTGCATGCGTCCCTCCTGGAGCTATATATATATTCCGTTGCCTTTTTGCATGCGTCCCTCCTTGAGGGTTTGGCATGGTTGTGCACGTTAGTTCGATGTAGTGTTGGGAGAAGAGAACATTCTTCCCATTTGGCCCACTCATCATGAAGCGGAGTGATGGTCAGTGCTTCTTGTGCGAACATTCACTCATTGCATAAAGGCCAAGTTACATACATGCAGTTGAGATGATTTGGTTGTGTGAGGATACTACAGTGTGTCTTATTTATTACCTGAGTGCATTATGCTGGCTTGTGACTCTTAGTCTTATTGAGCAACTCAAAAAAAAACATCAGAGAGCACTGCGAACCTACCGTTACCATGTGCCAAGGGGACAAAACAATCATCATACAATGTTGTGAAACAGATGAGAACAAGAGTCCATACCCCCCCCCCCCCCCCGTATTATAGGGGGTTATGGACTCTTGATGAAAATCATTGGCAGACTCATCCTTTCTCGCACAGTCCATCACAACACACAACAAAACAGGCACAAAACAATGAGGTTTGCCGTAGATGAAGCCGAAGCTGTAACACCATGATCCTTGTAAACATATGGAATACATACAGTGGTGCACACGTATCATAGGCCCCTCGTGGAAACAACTGGACAAGCATTCAAAGGGCAGCGAGTACCGCACACCACCACGCCAAACCCTCAAGGAGGGACACATGCAAAAGGCAACGGGATATATATAGCTCTAGGAGGGACGCATGCAAAAAGGCAACAGAATATATACAGCTCCAGGAGGGATGCATGCAAAAAGGCAACAGAATATATACAGCTCCAGGAGGGATGCATGCAAAAAGGCAACAGAATTATCAATATATACAGCTCTAGGAGGGATGCATGCAAAAAGGCAACAGAATATATACAGCTCTAGGAGGGATGCATGCAAAAGAGCAACGGAATATATACAGCAGTGCACATGTGGCATAGGCCCATCGCGGTAACCACCGGACAAGCATGCAAAGGACAGCAAGTGATGCGCACAACCACGCCCAACTCTCCAGGAGGGACGCATGCAAAAAGGCAAAGGAATATATACAATGGTGCACACGCTCCATAGATGCATAAATGGCTTCAGTCACTTGGGATGGACCCACCTTAAATGATCAGAAAATAAGACGCTATGCAAGGGGACGAACCCACCTCAAACAATAGGAAAAATGAGGCCGATTCAAGGGGACAAACCCACCTCAAACAATAAGAAATGAGGCTATGCAAGGGGACAAACCCACCTCAAATAATAGGAAAAATGAGGCTATTCAAGAGGACAAACCCACCTCAAATAATAATAAGAAATGAGGCTATGCAAGGGGACGAACCCACCTCAAATAATAAGAAGAAATGAGGCTATGCAAGGGGACGAACCCACCTCAAAAAATATGAAAAATGAGGCCGATTCAAGGGGACAAACCCACCTCAAATAATAAGAAAAAATGAGGCTATTCAAGGGGACAAACCCACCTCAAACAATAAGAAAACACGAGCTCCTGAAAGGTGACATGCCTGTCTGTGCTTACTTCTTCCTACGTAGTGGCACACTTTCATAGTCAAGTGCAGCATCACGGTAGTCCTTGCCACTTGCATGGACTGGATGAAGGTTGCGCTGCAAAGCCAAAGATGCGCGGGCTGTACTGTAATTAACTGCAGACAAACGGCCTCCGGCAGAATGCTTAAGCTGGGAAAACAATGTCTCCACAGCACTGCCCGATACTCTCACTGGCACAATGTAGTATCCTGGATGACGTGTGACATAGTCCTCACAGAACTCCACGAAGCCAAAGCACATTATCCTGAGGAGGTCCCATGTTTGCCACGACAAGAATGAGGTCTGCTTTGGAGAGGAGGCAGTGAAGGCTGGGTCCAGTAAAAGTCCATTCAGCCATGACTCAAAGAATGCATACCCTGACTTGATGGACTGCAGTGGTGTACATGTGGGGCTGCGTACTGGAGCATGGGAGAGTGTGCCTTCCTCAAATAGTTTGCTGCAAGCAAGAAGGTACTGCCGGGATGCTTGAACATTTGCTACATCGGCAGGATGGCTAAGGCAGTGCACAGCAAGTTCGGTCAGAACTTTCTCCTGCTGCATGATTTTGGCTGGCAAAACATTCAACTTAGTCCAGGAGTCCCTATAAACAAAGTTCTTACGGAGATGTGGCACATCGCGAGGCTCGCCTGCTCTCATCTTGGCACACTCCCGTTGGTACATGTCTATAATAGTCTGCCATCCAAAAGGAACACCTTCCTGGGTGACAAATGCCTTAGCTCCACCATGAGACGACGAGCTCAAAGCATTAACCATGTTTTCGAGCTGGTGGGATGGGCAAATGATGAAAAATAGTCGATGATTTGCCCAAACTGGATGTTCCACCGAGGCCCTTATGTCATGTCGATTCGGACCCTCCTCCTCTTGCATGCCGAATGAACCACTTTTTCCCATCATAGACTTGATCATGGCCATGTTCGTTGAAGCACCATCACAGACCAAAGCACTGACCTTGAAGTCATACGCATGGAAAAGGCGCAGTGTATCCATTACACAGGCCAAAGTGAACTTGGCATCCAGAGTCTTGGCAGCGGTGTAGTAGGGCCCAATGATATCAAAACTTTCCGACATGTCCCGCCATAGGGTCTGAAGTATATACTCAGTGCGGTCCGTTTTCTCATCCTTCAAGTCTGTATATACATCATGGAGGCAGCTCAGGCTGGACAGGTCATCACTGGTCATGGACAGACCATATATCTGCTGACTTTTTGAGTTCCACAGAACTTTGGAAACAACTTTGACCTCGTCAAAGACCATCACACCATCTCCGGTGGGGACTAACCGCTGCTCAGCTTCGGCCACCTTCTTGAAGTTACTGTACTTCTGCAGTTGGAAGACCATGTTGTCTTCACACCACCCGGGGTTATCCAAATGTGCTCCCGTAAAATGCTTCAAAGAGCGCACACTTGGTAGTTGCAAAATCCCAAAAGACTTCAAGGCTTCATAGGCTGCGGGACTGCGGGTGAAGACGGCCAGAGCAAGCCGGTAAGTTATCATACTCCACCTGTTGCCCTTGGACCCAGACGCGTTTCGCTTCTGGTCCTTGTTGAACTGCTCCCGGGCCACAACATCGGAATGCCAAGCAGCCCGTAAAATGTCGGCCTCATCTCCAGCATCCTCAAAAATTCCCTCCAGGTCTGGTGCAAAGCTGGAACTGATGTCCTGGCATACAGCAGACAGTTCCGAAGACTGTTCCTCACATAGTTCAAAGTCAAACTGTTCCAAGCGAGCCAACTGCCGCTTCGTGATCCGCTAAACCTCTGATTTATTGCGAGCATGCACCGAATGGCTGTGAGGGGACAGATACTTCAGGGGCACAGTGGAGGATGCTGACACTCTTGCAGCCTTGTCATCTTGGGTTCTTTCAGTTGCCCTTTTCACCAGCCGCTCCAGGTCATGCTGTAGTGCTTTGCAAGCCTTGCATGGTACAATGGGGGAGTTCTTCTCCTCAAGTGGCAAAGTTCGACCTGCGTTGTGCCATACAGAACAGTGTTCGCTGTCAAAGCGAACAAAAGGAAACGTCCACTTCCTCAAATTCTTCGTGTGGAAACGTACTGACTCGAATTGCTTCTCATAGTCAGCTATCCCAGGGCAGAACTTCATGTCCGATGAAGGTAGCATGCTTTCCAAATACGGAGTAAGCGTATCCAAATCATCGGCACACTCTCCCTCCTCCGTTCGCCCACCAAAGAGACACTCGAAAGTGAATGTTCCTGCTGGGTTCACAACCAGACGGTTCAAATTGACGGGTGTTCCATTGCATGTGAGAAGCACAGACTTCGAGCAATAAATCTCTATCCAGGTGCTGGAAGAATTAACAATTTCCAACACTTGACAATCGAGAGAAGAAAATGAGGAGCCCAGATCGAGCAAAAACTGACGAATATCGTCCACAGAGACACTGCACTCCGGCGACAATGGGGAGCGCTTTGCTTTAGGTTCAACAGTGGCCATTGTTCTTCTCTTATCGGAGAGACACTCAAAAGAGAAAACTGTGCGACAACTCTAAAATAATTCTTTGTGTACTTGAGCCTTTCCAGGCGTGTTACGTACAATACCTGGCCGTGGATTCGTAAAGAAAGACCCCAAATTGGGCAAACGGGCGAAGTAGGTCCGGGCCAAACTTCCCATTTCGTCATAGCTACTCACTACATGACGTATGAAGTTTGGATTTCGTTGCGGCACTGATTTGTGCTGAGAAGGATCACAAGTTGCACACTCTGGGGGGTTATGGACTCTTGGTACCGTGGTGCTGTGGTGTTGTCGGGTCCTGTGGGTGGGTACTGGGTACCGTG